CGCATATTAAGTAATCGGTTTACCTGATTAACCAGCTGATTGGAGAAAAAAAATAAAATAATAATATCTATGGGACCTTTTTGCCAGTATCAAATTTTTTTTTTCCAAAGAACACAGGATGAGATGTTACCATCATTTGTGCAAAGGTAGTATACAGAAACCAAGTTTCCTCATTGAACTAATAATGTAAAGAAAGGAACTGACCAGCACAGCCCCTTCTGAAAAGTAACCTTGAGAACCTACAAATGCTCTCCCGTGTATAAACTAAACGTGCTTAGTACTGTACCAAATGAAACAGCTGTTGAATTGGCTGGGTGACAGTAGTTAGCGCACCCAACTCAACTATTAAGTTCCAATTGCCTGGTTCGGTCATCACCTCAAACCCATCATTCCTATCCAAGATCGATACCAAAAAAGATTAGGAGCAATTTTTGGGAACTCGACAGTGGTTGACTAGAATAGAGAATGGCTGGGCTCACGGGAATGTGGAATATGCACCACCTGTTCTGGACCCCCATGGAGTCCACTTTGCCCCATGCAGATCCAATACACAAATCATCACGTGACCCACACAAAAAACACTGTCAAACGGAGAGAGGAAGCAGTCAAACTGCAAGCGCCTTTAGCCAAGGCAAGTAGTCATCAAACAACCACCTACCTCCTTGTATGTGTGTGTGTCTATGTTGAACTTCTTTCGTACCGTACGTAGCCAAGCGTGCTAATCGGAGGTACGGGAGAAGGACAACAAAACTAAAACACAAATAATATATTCTAAAGAAATGCGTTTTCAATCGAGATGATGTAAAAGTGCCTCGGCTCCAGCGGTTTCCGAATATCGGAAGGAAGAGCGTTCCAGACGGCCGCAGAAACGCATCCAAAAGCGCCGCACGATGAGGTGACCGTCACACTCCTGAGTGACATCGCACTCCTGTCTGTCAACATCTCTATCTCCTCTCCTCCCGCATAGACTTTGCCTGTGCATGGTGTTAACACATTCCTATGTGTGTATGTTGAACTTCTTTCGCACCGTACGGAGCAAACCCGTTGCTAATCGAAGACGCACTTCCTGCATGTCCAAAGCATTGTTGGTGCATCACAAATCCCCTATTGTGCTGTGTGAGCTGCCCAAATTGTACGGCTTTAATAAGGTGATCGAAATAAGGTGGTACAGAAAGCAGGTCGTCAGCCAAACTGTTCCCATGTTTCGTCTTCTCCCTCTGCAACACGAATCGCGGTGGGGCTGACGAGTCACTCCACCACACTGATTAACGAACAAACATTGTTGTTCGTTTACAAACTTATCTACGCAAAGTTGCCTCCCTAATCGCAAAAAAACAATGGGGTAGGTAACTCATCAACATTGGCAGCCTCGAAGCCTGTGGTGCAAATTCCACTTTCTTATGGTGGAAGTGAGTCTTTGTTCAGTATTAGCTTATGTAAATTATGTAACGTGTATCCAAGTGTACTCAGATTGTAAATGTTGTCTGGATTTGCTCTCCAACACACAACCGGGGTGCTGCACTAGTAACGAATTAGCATGTTGTGTTTATGTGACTAAGCCCTTACTGCGTTGGCTGTGTCGTATGGCGGCGTGTTTAACGACACACATTTACTTGATCTAACCAAAAAGAAAACCTCTATTGTGAATCACACACACACAAGCCGCGTAGGCGTTCAAACGACACCGCCTAATGAGAACGAGAAAATAAACACTGCGATTATTTACGCATCGTTTAAAAATACAGAAGACCATTTTTTTCATCTTCTCAGTCACTTCCTGACGAACCACCCCCGCCCAAACCCCGACCTCGCCTAGATTCCTGCCCAGCGAGGGTGCACCTAACCCCGGGTCGGTTAGTAGGCCGCAGCGGGTGGGTGTGGGACGGGCGACATTGCAGCGCGGAGGATAATAAACTAAGCAGTGTTCGTAAGGGACCAAAGCACAGATTGTAGTTTAAGGTCACAGTTTATTTGCGCGACATCACTACTCTCTCTATAAGCAGCTTCGTTAAACTACTCGGCGCTATTTGTATTAAGGAACGCGTATCTTATTGTGCGAGCGAGTGTGTGCTCGTTGTAGTCTTAGAAGCGAGGCGTCGTTATAGATTCCTCAATTCGCCCACTACAATGTCTAAATCTTCCGATGTTACAGCGCACTGAGGAGAATGCTCACGTCGTAAAATCAGTTCACCAATTAAATAACGATTATTAAAAATATATATAATCTATTAACAGTACAATACATACGAGTCGTCCTTCTTGACGGAGCGTTGAGGTAAAAAAAAAATTCTAGATTTGAAGTTTTCTTGACTGCAAGGATCCATACTCTTAGGTTTTTTTCGGTAAAGTCCGTAGGTAAAAAATAATAAAATAATAATAAATGACAATAAATCAATTAAATCACGACGTTTCGGAGGCAACACAAGTCTCCGTCTTCAGGTGGGACCGTCACAGCTAAATTTACTGTATCAAGTGAGGAGGAATCCAAGAAACAAGATCTTAAATACAAGTTAAATACAAGTTATTATTTGTTATTACCTACGCGACTTTACCGAAAAAACCTAAGAGTATAAAAAACAAATGTTCGGCAAAGCTTTAGCGCCCTTCCATGCCTTGCTCGCGCGGCAGAAGGGCACCCACGAGGCCCCTTTCAAAGGGTGTTTTGGCCTACTCTTCCACTCTCACCAAACGTCTCTAGAGGCAGAGGGTGGTAGTAATCCACACTTAACCTCTCCACACGCGACATGGCCAATCTACTGCGGATGTACCCGTGTTAAGACTGCCGGGTGGACAGGTGTAATGTTGTTTTAAGTGCCGTGCCCGGAGATCGAACGTTCTAACTCACGGTAGGTCTGGAGACTTAGGTCATAAACAGGTTGTTAGGGAAAGGAATCCGAGTATTGTACCTTAATTATACTTCATTACTCTATCACATGGGCCACAACAACGATTTGAGGGCAAAGCAATTGAGTTTGATTACAGAAATTATCAGCGATTTCATCAATTGTAGTATCATTAAATGCACAATTCACTGTGTTGTATTTCGTGTTTAAATTAATAGGGCAAATACTTATTCGAAATACTGTACCAATAATCATGTCCACACAATCACTAAATCGTGTTAACTTCAAATCTAGATCGTGTTAAGAAGGTATAAACTCACAGGGTCGAATTGTAATGATTTCACACAGTTAAATGGACATAACACGCTCACCCATTTTTTTTTTACAAATAAAACAGCGTCAACGTGAAAATAATACAATATTAAAATTACAAAGTTCCCTTTAAATGCCCCCTGCTCGCGCCACTCACCCAACCTCGCCTAGATTCCTGCCCAAAGAAGGTGCACCCTCCCTGGGTGGCTCACAAGGCCGCAAGGGGTTGAAAGGGAAACGATACGTTTCAAGTATTTCTCGGTGTACACGTGTGTTCAGGCAACAAAGTACGTTTATACATCACACATGCGACACACAACACAGCAGAATGCACGATATAGCACACACGGAGTAAACATGTGCACTGTAGTGCACAGCCTAAGATTACTAATATCACACAAGGAGTATTATACAGCGAGTAGAATACGGGATACATCACAACATGCAGTGCACACACGCGTACTCGTGTCGACGAATTAGTAGAGTACCGTATACCACATGCAATACACAGCTGAGTGGAGTATCATATATAATATACAGCTCCGTAAGGAATACTGTATACCACACATGCTTACAGTACTGGAGTACACAACCGTATTGAATATACTGTACCACACATGCTTATAGTAATAGAGTACACAGCCGTATTAAATATACCACACACGCTTACAGTAGTACACAACCGTATTGAATATACCACACATGCTTACAGTAGTAGAGTACAGCCGTATTGAATATACCACACATGCTTACAGTACTGGAGTACACAAACGTATTGAATATACCACACATGCTTACAGTAGTAGAGTACACAACCTTATTGAATATACCACACACGCTTACAGTACTGGAGTACACAACCGTATTGAATATACCACACATGCTTACAGTAATAGAGTACACAACCGTATTGAATATACCACACATGCTTAGAGTAAACAACCGTATTGAATATACCACACATGCTTACAGTACTGGAGTACACAACCGTATTGAATATACCACACATGCTTACAGTACTGGAGTACACAACCGTATTGAATATACCACACACGCTTACAGTAATAGAGTACACAACCTTATTGAATATACCACACATGCTTACAGTACTGGAGTACACAACCGTATTGAATATACCACACACGCTTACAGTAATAGAGTACACAACCGTATTGAATATACCACACACGCTTACAGTAATAGAGTACACAACCGTATTGAATATACCACACATGCTTACAGTACTGGAGTACACAACCGTATTGAATATACCACACATGCTTACAGTAATAGAGTACACAACCTTATTGAATATACCACACATGCTTACAGTACTGGAGTACACAACCGTATTGAATATACCACACACGCTTACAGTAATAGAGTACACAACCTTATTGAATATACCACACATGCTTACAGTACTGGAGTACACAACCGTATTGAATATACCACACATGCTTACAGCACTAGAGTACACAGCCGAGAAGATTAATATAAACTGTGTACCACACAGCCCAGGAGATAACTGCGAGCACCGCACACCAAGTCCGTACTAGAGTACACAGGCCAGTACTGTCTACACCACACGTGAAGTGTAAACTCGAGTACGGCCCCAACAGAGTCACCGCACACCTGCAGTACACACACGTGCACAGGCGTACACTCGAGTACACACAGCCCAGCGGGGCAACACACACGCACGCCGCATACATAATCCGCAGGGGCCAGAGCGCATAGGGGCCCGGGAAGGAAACAACAGCCGAGGCAGACAGCCTCGAACGCACGACGCCGAGTCGTGAGAGTCTTCCCCTCCCTTCTCTCCCCTCGCAGCGCTCATCTCACCGCTGCTGTCGCCGACGAAGACGATGATGGCGATGATGGCGATGATGATGATGACGATGATGGTGGTGTTCGAAGCGATGGGAGATTGGCTTCCCCTAGCCGACGACAATGTCGTTGTTGTCGCCACCGCCTCCCAGTGCCTCGGGTCTCGGGTTCCTCCCTCCCGTACAACCACGAGCCCCCCGCCCGCCCGCCCCAATCCTCTCGTCGGCTCGCTCGCTCCCTCCCCGCCGCCTCAGCCCACCCGACTTGCTCGCTCGGTCGCCTCCTCCTTCCGCTAAGAGCGGGGCCCGCACGCCACGACTTTCATGGGGGAACGCGTCACACGCATAAATAAAGTGGGGTGGGGGGAGGCGAGGGGCGGAGTCAGGGGGGGGGGAGTTGGCGGTGTTGATTTCTGGGCGGGGCTACGAGGTTATGGGGCGGGGCCACGAGGATAAGGGGCGGGGCCACGAGGATAAGGGGCGGGGCCACGAGGATAAGGGGCGGGGCTACGCGGTTATGGGGCGGGGCCACGAGGATAAGAGGCGGGGCCACGAGGATAAGGGGCGGGGCTACGCGGTTATGGGGCGGGGCTACGCTGATAAGGGGCGGGGCCACGAGGATAAGGGGCGGGGCTACGCGGTTATGGGGCGGGGCCACGAGGATAAGGGGCGGGGCTACGCGGTTATGGGGCGGGGCCACGCGGATAAGGGGCGGGGCTACGCGGTTAAGGGGCGGGGCCACGAGGTGAAGGGGGGCGTGGTTACCCATGTGGGGGTATCCACGTGCGCGCGTGGGATTTAATTATTGTTGCCGTCATTCATAATAATAACAAGCCTCAACACAACTAAAACTATTAATATTCTTTGGTTCTTTCGGTAAAGTCATGTAGATAAAAAAAAGAAAAAAACCACGACGTTTCGATCGCAACACATCAGGGAATTTTTTTCTATTTACGTGACTTTACCGAAAGAACCAAATAATATGAATTCCCGCAGTCACGAAAGCTTTAATTCAAAATAAAACTTTTTTATTTTACCAGGTTAGGCCCACTGAGCTATAAATAGCTATTTTTTAGAAGCGACTTGGCAATTACGAATGATGGCTCAACCTCGTGGCTTATCGAGTAGACATTTGTCTCAGCCAATTAATTATTACTCTTAAACGCGCGATGTTGATTCTAAATACGGAGGGGAAACACCGAAGGACCCGGAGAGAAATCCACGCGAACACGGGGAGAGAGAGAGAGAGAGGTCGGGGTCGAACCCATGACCTCCTGTAAACATGGCAAGGAAGATAAGATCACGCCACCGTGGCGCGCCCACTTCGTCAAGCGCAAACACAATTCATCAAGAACACCGCGGTGGCCTTGAAGGCGACGTTTCGAGAAATGTTCATTAAGTATTTGAGCCAGCTGGCCAGGCTTGGCCTAAAACCAATCCAACTTTTCACCCGGGCAACTGGTGAGCAATAGGCCAAAGTGTTCCTAACATTAAAACTTAACGGTAACATTAAAACTTCCAATAACAGCAATGGTCCTTCGTATGACATTAATAGTGCGTTATAAAGGGTCATTGCCAGAAACGTCGCCTTATACGTTTGCTTGTAAGACCTCAGTGTTAATTGGCAAATGCGTTGGGGTTGTTTTCCCTTGTATTTAAGTGTGCTTTATGCACCGCTACCAACGCAGCAACAGCAGCAGCAGCGTTACCAGACAATTTGAATAACAATGCAGTGCGGCTCGGTGTTGTGATTCACGAGCCTCTGCCCCGAGTACACGTGAGTTGGAGCCCAGACAAGGAGGTGACGTGATCGTTGCTGAACGCGTGCTCGGCGTTTGCCGGCGGGCGAAAGAGATGCACACTTGAAGTTACTCAAACTAAACAAAGCCTGTGTTGGCTTGCGGTTAACAAACGAATTCATTATCGGGTCGCACTCGTCACGCGCACAAAGTGCTTGCCACGAATGCACCGCAGTAACCTTACTGGTCTCGTCAAGGAGCATAAACCATCATCACGCGAAATCGGCGTTTGGCTGGCCATCGAACAAAGACGATCACCGCATCGCGCTTTATGCGGCCGTCTGGAACGCTCTTCCGTCCGATATTAGAAAGCTACTGGAGCTACGCACTTTTAAATCATCATCTAGATTGACAAACTAATTTATTTATAACTGCACATCCGATCAGCGCGGTTGGCTACGTACGGTGCGAAATAAGTTCAACGTACGTACGATGTCACAGACGAGCAGGAAGGCAGCAGCAGCCGCCAGGCGTTGAGTCGTCACCAATTTCTGCCCCCACGTGCCGCCCAATCTCTGTGATCTTCCGTCTACAAAGGCGTAGTCGCTCAATTGATGCGTCGCGAGACCAGGAATGCGTTTGCGCCCGGAAGGGAAAAACAACGCGCGAGTTAAGGGGACAGCACTCGATCCCGTGCACATGAAACGGACGATGTCCATATTCATGCTGCGCCGCCTTCACTTGGCGTAGCCAGGGCACGGGTCCTCCTCAATGTCCACGGGAAGGGAGTGTGTCTGCACAGCATCTGCTGTGTGTGACCCGCCAACCCTCGCCGTTGCCTTCACAGGGCCGGGTTGCTGGTGTGTGGAGATAAGACAGTTTATAATAGAGGGGGTTTTCTGGGTTAGATCGCTTAAATACGCGTAAATACGCGATCTAACCCAAAAAACATCTATTGTGGATGATATTGGTCGCGAAAGCCTACGTGTTAAAATAAGCCACTTTTATATTCTTGGTTCTTTCGGTAAAGTCACGTAGAAGACAAATAATTAAAAATATCTATAAAAACAATAAAAATGCTACAGGCCGGCACGAGCTTAATCCGGCACTGAGTATAGCACCAAATGAAGGCCTGCACAGTGGCACGCGAGGGGGTGGGTGGCCAGCACCACGCCCGGCCACCTTTGCCTCCTCCTGCTGCGCACGCACTACGACCCCTTCCACAGCCCCTACCACTACCCCCACACGCAGAGCCGTCTCTCGGCGTACGGCGAATCGAGGCGACCGCCCCGGGCCCCGCGCACCCCCCCCCCCCACACACACCTATATGGACGGCCCTGCGGCCATGCATGTCAGGTCTCGCAGACTGCCATCCCTGAAAGTCGTGGGATTTTACAATTTCGGGTGTCTCAGGGTTGCGTTTCCCTCTGTGATGACGTTCACATACCGTGTCAACCCATACGGGTTACCCCGTATTCTTGTACAGGGAAATTTGAGTTTTCAGGTCCATACGGCGTGCAGCGTTTCCATACGGGCAAACACAAAACATGTTTGTCTATTTGTTTGTGTTTCTCCCTTGTGATGGGGCTTTGTAGGATGAACGTTGAGATTTATAAGGGCCACGGGGTGACCGATAAGGTGTGAATTGGTCTGTAATAACGTAGGGCACTGATAAGGGGTTGACAGCTTTGCGTTTAATTGAATTGTCAAATCGCAGGATCGTGAAAGATTTTGGTGGATTGGGAGAGGCCTTCATCTAGCTCGGGATTTGACCGTGGCTGACGACGATGATGAAACGTACAGAGGTGAGACCCAACTGCGTTGGGGTTTAAACGTGGTATGGCATCGTACCTAGTGCTTGAACCAGTGCGCCCACCGCTCCCCGCAAGGGCCAATCGCCCACACGCACGCAAAATTGGAATAAAATCGCCCCGTATCACTTTTCACGGTTATTTTCCGACCGTCCTGGCCACAGGGCCCTTCCCTCTATGCAAATCGGTGACCAGCTACGCCATGCATGGGGTGTGTCGTGCCGGCGTCAGCGTGGGGAGGGAGACGTTAACCTATTGAACTCCCTCCACGCCTACGTGGTCTTGAGAGACGGCGACGATGTTGCAATAAAGCCGAGCCTGCACTAAGCAGCGCCTGCTCCGCGCCAATACACAGCGCTGCACACATTTCTGTGCCACACTAAAACCCAGACCATATAAATCTTGGTCCTCACGTAACTCCAATCCTCACTGAACCCCAGTCCTCACTAAGGTCTGGTCCTGACTAAGGCAGGGTCCTCACTAAGGCCTGGTCCTCACTAAACCCCAGTCCTCACTAATACATGGTTCCTAACTATACTCCAATCCTTACTAAACCCCAATACTCACTAAGGCCTGGTCCTCACTAAACTCAGACCTCACTATGGCCTGGTCCCCAATAAACTCGAGTCTTCACTAAACCCCAGTCCTCAATAAGGCCTGGGCCTCACTAAACCCAATTCCTCACTAAGGCCTGGTCCTCACTAAACTCAGACCTCACTATGGCCTGGTCCCCACTAAACTCGAGTCTTCACTAAACCCCAGTCCTCAATAAGGCCTGGGCCTCACTAAACCCAATTCCTCACTAAGGCCTGGTCCTCACTAAGGCCTGGGCCTCACTAAACCCAATTCCTCACTAAGGCCTGATCCTCACTAAGGCCTGGTCCTCACTAAACCCAATTCCTTACTAAACCCCAGTCCTCGTTAAACCCCAGTCCTTACTAAACTCCAGTCCTCACTAAGGTCTGGTCCTTACTAAACTCCAGTCCTCACTTAGGCCTGGTCCTCACTAAACTCCAGTCCTCACTAAGGCCTGGTCCTCACTGTAAGCTGGCCACACATTATCTCCCAGCGGCTTCACTCTCCACTCATTCTGCTGGGAATCATTCGACGTTGATGTGCATCAAAGCGACATGAACTAAAACGAAAAACGTAACTTTTTATTGTGCTAGCTAAGGCCCACTGAACTTTATAGTTATTTTTCAAAAGCGGCCTGGTCACATGATACCTCAACGAAGTGGCTTATATAGACATGTATGTCAGCCGAATACTCTAAAAACATGTTGATTCTAAATGTGGAGAGGAAAACCGAAGGACCCGGGAAAAAGCCATTCGGGTACGGATAAAACACGCAAACTCCAAATATACAACACCAGGTTTCAGGGTCGCGATCGAACCCACGACCTCCTGTATACCAGGCGAGGGAGTTAACATCTCCTAGCCACCGTGGTGATGATGATGAGAGAGACACGCGAACTCCAAATATACAGCAGCAGGCGTCAGGGTCGCGATTAAACCCACGACCTCCTGTATACCAGGCGAGGGAGTTAACATCTCCGAGCGCGCACGCTCACTTCACGAATCGGGACGCATCGTTCGATCGAGAACTTGAAGTGAGCGAGAGAGCCAATAGTGCGAATTCAACATTGCTATGACGGCGCGGAGAGTCTCTCTGTGTGGCGAGAGGTTGAGAGTTTTGAAATGAGTCTTTTAACACGCGTAGGCTTTGACAATTTTGGTAAATCGCCTGATGGCGCTGGTTGTTGTAATC